ATGGGCATGTGTAGACGAAACAAGGGGCATGTGTATATGACACTTTAAAGCAGGTTAAATGTTTTTGCACCTCTGTAATGGCATTGGTAATTGCATGTGTCGGTGGCGTATTGCACATTAATTTCAGCTGCTGTTCCCATTGATAAAGAATGAGTTTCCAACAACCTATCTTAAATTGGCCAAACTGTGCCATTAAAGTGACATTTTGTAAATGGACATTTAACAAATTCTATAGTTTAAAACAGTGCCCAGGAATATCAGAAATTAATCTAAACAGGAAAAAAGAATGGTATGGCAATGATATTCTTGATTCTGTTTAGTTAGGTATTGAAACTCCACTGATTATCACACTATCGTCAAAGCTACTAAGGAAAATTTAGGGAGGTAAGAATACAATTATAGGATACAGAACCTGCCTCATTCTCCAAGAATAACATTTTTTCTTACAAAATCTTAAGAGATGTAATTGCTCTTAGAGCAAAATCATAGATTTGCAACTCCTGTGAAAGAAGAAAGTTCTGACAGTACAATACTCTCAAGCACCATGATAGGACATTTATTTAAACTGCTCTTCCCCTAATTAGAACATGTGTCTCTATCACATGGAATGCGCAAATCCCTTTCACTTCCCACCCTAAACAGCATGAAGTGATGCTATGTACAACTACAGTGTTTCATCCAAGGGATGAATACTTTGTGTTAATATAATTTTTATATGCTGAATATAAAATGGGCATAAATTTGCTACAGAAACAGCAACTCAGAGGGCGCATCTACATGTGCTGCAATAGCAACAATGTTATTGTACCATGATTTAGTACTCCGTTTCATAAGTACTAAACCATGGTGCAGTAACAACCCATACTGCACCATATGCATGGTGCATGGTTATTTTTAGCAGCTACTTCACCATAGTGGCGCACTATACCAGGGGAACATGTCACTACAACAAAGTAGCTGCTGGTCGTGTACACAGCCACTACAATGACGTAGTATTATGCATAGATGTGGCCAGCGTGTATTATTCTGCAAAAATGAACATTACATTGGAAAACGAAATCATATTTGAAAATAGGTTTACCACAGCTATTATTTTATCTGACGTGTTTATTTCCCCCTTCTCCAGGTATTTTCTAGCTTTTGGATTATTGCTATAAACATATGATGGAAGTTTTAATGCTCATTTATATATCTCAGGAGATTACTATAAACCTTGTTTATGACATGGCTTTCATGAGTTTTTAATGAAAAATATTTTTCTATTCAACTGAATATTTCTTATTAGTTGAGGAATCCTGCATAAAGTGGTAAATTGCATTATGTTTTCCTCCCTCGTTGTTCCTATCATACTGAGATGTTTCACTATAGAGAATACTATTTAAAAAAAGAGGCCTGCCTTTTTTCCTTTGGTATGTTAGTGCAGTGCTACAAGAGTATATTTTCAATATATTAAGTGAATATATGCCAAAATGCCTTTGTGCTCCCCTTTACTTAGTGTAGCAATAGCAGCATTGCACTACTTCAGACAAGTCTTCTCTGCTACTTTGACCTGCTAACCCATTTTTCAACTACTGAGTTCCTTCCATTTTTCTGGTGTCACATCAGAAAAAAGCTCCGTCTCCTCTTTCCTTATCGCTTGCTTTTGTTTCCCCCTATGTTATGTTGAAGAATGTGCTTCTTTTCCTTAGTTTCAGGGGTGTACTTGGTAGCCGTGTTGGTCTGAAACAAAAAGACATATAAAAAAACTAGAACTCTTGGTTCCAAAATGATACCTTCTATTAGACCAACTGGAACATGGCAAGAATAGTGTCCTTTTCTGCTATTTTCCAGTTGGTCTAATAAAAGGTATCATTTTGGAACCAAGAATTCTAGTTTTTTGTACTACTTTTTCTTACAATTTCTACTGCTGCTACCTCAGTGGAGGGGCAGCTTTAATGTGCTCCTTTTTATGAATTGTACGTGTATTGACCCTTCAATATAGATGTCCATATTCTGATTCATGCCTCTTGTTACCTTGAGACTGGATTACAACAATGTGCTCTACAGAGAAATGAACTTTTAAACCATGTGAAAACTGAAGTTCAGAAAAATAGCAATGATAATTGTTTAGATTTTTAAGCTGGGTATGCTAGTGTGAAGGTGAGGCACTGGTGTTATGGGATCTAGACTGTCCATGCATTTCCCAGATAAAGCGTTAATTTTGACCTAAAAAACAGAGAATTCCCTGAACCAATTCCTCCTGAGAAATCTCCAGAATCATTCAAACTGGCGCCCCCTGTGGGATGTGGTATCACAGCATTTCAGCAAAGGTCCTTTCACTTATTTCATACATCCACTGATTCAAAATAGCCCACATGGACACATCTCTGACATGTTAAACAGTGATAGGGGAAACATCCTCCCTCCCACTCACTCCTGCACTTCATGCTAAAAAAACACCCTGCAGCCATCAGAGCCATGCTGGGAACCTGCTTTCATAAGCATGCCTGAAAGCAGCATTTGACACATGCCATAAAGCAGTTCCAAAATATTTTTTGTTATCATTCAGTATGTTTGGTACATGAACAAGTGAGCAGGTATGATATCATGGTGATGTTCTACTTGTCCGATGCAGGCGAGATATGTTCCATAAATGAATGCCTGTTTGAGCAATTACATGGTGTGAGGCTATAGCTTGTCAGCAAGAAGTGTGTTTTGGGTATAAGGAGATGTTTTAATTCAATAGGTTATATTTTTCTGATGGATAAATGTATATGCTGATTTCATTTTTTTTAATTATTATTTTTGCAATGTATCTTTAAATATTGCAAAGGCACATACAGACATTTCTGGGGGTCTTTGTGTGCATTTATTTCTATACAAGTTAAATACAATAATAGAATGGAAAATTAATATTGCCTGTGGCACAATGCCATATTGCAGACTCATCTTGTTGCTTTTCTTTCTGAGAAAGTGAAGCTACAGGAAGAAATGATCTAGAGAAACACATGAAAACTCTCTGAATGAGAATGTATTTTCATCTGCACATTAATGTAATAGTTAAATAAACAGACAAGGTTCCTTGGGTGAATTTGATATCTTTTATTAGACCAACCCAAATAATTGGAGAATAGTTATTGAGCAAGCTTTCAAGTTCAAAAACCCTTTGAAAGCTTGCTTAATTACTATTCTCCAACTATTTGGGTTGGTCTAATAAAAGATATCAAATTCACCCAAGGAACCTTGTCTGCCTTATGTCCTTAAACCAACACGGCTACAACCTACACCCCTGCAGCATACTTAAATAAAAGCACTTCAGTACAGCCTAATCCTTTTTGTTTTAACACTGGTAATTGAGTAGGTAAATTCTTCATCTTATCATTAAATCTTGGTGAAATAAACATTCTGAATAAATGACAATATTTTGCATTTCATCTTGAATGTCAGTTCCCCTAAATTTTGGTGGAGTATGAACTGCCATGAGTACCAGAAATGAGTCAGTTAATAATATTGTGCTGCCCACAACTGCATTTTAATTTTTAGTTACAAGATAGCTTCAGTATTTGGTCATTTGTCATTTCATTGGAACAGTATTTTCTACCCAGCTGTACTCCTGACAGGCAGAAGTAGCTTACATCACAGCTGTCTTAGAGATTGAAATGCAGGCCTTGACAGATCTTTAACATAATTGCCAACACCTTGAAAACACTAAGATGGCAATTTGGACTTCAGTTCCCAGGTTTTATAAATTTGCATCCTATTGATTTTACTGATGTGAGTAGCTTTACTTCGTAGTAATTGATATTATACTAATACTATACCTTTAGTGAAGGTTTTTATACTGGGTTGTGCTGAATAGATCAGATCCTAAAAGTAAAATAACAAGAACTAGAGAAATACTGTAGATTCCTGCAAGTAACTCATAGTTTATCTTTTATTTTCTTTTTATTTTTTTTACTTTTACCCATTGCTTCTTTTCAAAAAGTATTCAGGCTTCTACCTCTAACCTGTCATCTTCTTATCAACTTACTTCTCCAACCTCTCAATTTTCTTGTGGGTGGTGAAATGGCCCATTCTTTTTCTGCCTTTAAGAAAATTAACATTCTCTTCACCCGGTTGAATTCAGGGTTTACGTCTTTACTGCATATAGAGCAAAGATGTGCATTTCCACTAAGTTAGTAAGGATGGCAGTCAATTTTATTGCAGCATAAAAACATGGCACAGATCATCCCTTCCATCCTTGAAAATATATAAGTATCTTTAATGCCTTATGTATTATCTAATTTTAAGATTCTGAAAACAGAAACTATCTCATTTGAAGTAGCATATATTTATTCTGGTATTATTCATTGAGTAAATAGCCCATGTTGATAAAAATAGTTTATCCATTCATTATTGGCACTTCAGTATTTAATTTTAAATCCCACCCATTGTTTTATATTTTACATGCATTTAAGTACTGAAACGGAACAGCATACTATACATTCTTTAATCTATTAGTCTCTTTGTATGTCTAGTAAGAAATCAGAATGGCCACAGGATTCAAACTCAGAAGCTCTTTCTTACTGGTGCAAAGTGTATTTAGATATACTTATTTGATGACAAAACCCCAAAGTACCCAAACTTAACCCTACTCTTTACATAAAAAGGGTTTGGAGCACATTGTTAATACCCCGATAAAGATTCCCTTTCTGTTCACTGAATATTGTATGTTGTTTGTAGAAACATTCTGCAAATAATGTGAGGATAGGTTAAATAAACTGTTTAAAATGCCATTAGCATCTAAACTGTTAATGGCTGTCCATCTGTTCTGCCTCCAACATGCAATTTTAGAGCCTCATACACATGAAATTTAAAACCGCATTTGAAAAAATTGGGATCATCTCTACGTTTTCATTAAAGTATAATAAACTCAACCTTTTTTTTTTTTTTACACAGGAGAAAGTGTAGGTTGTTTCCTGTCCTCCATCCCCTCTACTCCCAACTCTTCCCCTTTCCCCATGACACATTTCATTACTTACTTGCTTTGTTTTTCCATACTGGCTACCCGGAGATTTTCCCACCGTGAATTAAGCAGATTCATTTGTTCTTGGATTTCATTTTCCTCATCTTCTGAAAGCTTCCCAGCTGTTATTAGTTGACTCCCCACTTGCAAAACATTGCCAACTCGTCCTTGGTGAGCTGTTAATTCCATCATAAAACCCTGACAAAAGAAAAGTAACTCTTAAGTAAGATTATAAGAGGAAAGAAAACTTTGAAGAAATATCTTCAATTTCACATATATTCTCAATAACAAATAAAAGAAGGACTATAACATTTGTTCTAAAATGAATTAAACCTATACAAAAATAGGTTTAACTTTTGAGTCTTCACTATTATATTTAAAGTTTCTGCATCGAAGTGGAAAAGCAAAGTAACAGGCCTGTCAATACCAGAAGTGATTTTTAAATTACTTTAAATTGCTGCTTGTGTGGCACATTAAGGTCAAATTAAGACAAGCTGTTTTTGCTGGTTTCAAGCTATGTTGCTCAAACATACCTCATGGGTGTGAAACTGCTCTTTAACTTCTTCTACATCATTGGATATGTCTCCTTGTGCTTGTAATGAATCTTCAGCAGAGAGAAGCCATGTAAGTACTTCTTCTAAAGCTGTTTGGTAGCTGTCCAGGTCTACTTCTTCCATCAGTGATCTGCCAAATGGCTTGTCTTCAGGGACTCCCAAATACTGATAAAAATAAACACAGGAGTTTGGATGTTGTGCAGTTAGCATCTGCTCAAACAGTTCTCCTAGATGAACAAATAGAATGCAGAACACAGATGAATGGGTGATGTGGTGCAAAATAAAGGCTACTATGTGAAGTTACTAAAGCAAAAACCACCAAAAATAAATCAGCTGAACTCTGACCCAGACTAAATGAATGTTTTGTACTGCAGCTCAAGGTTCATTCTTCAACTATAACCACCATTCTAAATGTAGGCAAAAGTTCAAAGTTATTCCTGTGGTATGCTTCCTCCTTCTCCCCCACCCCTCCCAATAAATATTTTAGATACTGTTTTTTCATTTTTAGTTTTACTTCCTCTTGAAGAACACGCTTCTCTGGAAGATGAATAAAAGTTACTAAACTTCGATAGCAGCTTGCACAATCTCACCCTCCAAAGTGCAGTGAATTGTATACTGATACTGTATCAATAGCATGCAGGCAAACGGAAGCAAATGAAACTCTCTTTCTTTCTTAATAAAACAAGCAAAGCTGTGCTTGAATAATCTGCAAGCCATCGTTTAATCAAGATCATGTTGTAAAGCACAGAGACCTTGCATGTCCCATGACCAAAATATCTCCCAGGAAAAAAAAAATTATTATTAGTCTTTTCCCTCCCCCGCCCAGGCTCCACACCCATCTGCTTCCAAGTAGTCAAGTACCATTTACAAGCAAGTAGCTCATGCCAACATGCTGCAGGTTACAGCAGAGGAAAATGCAATAATAAACATTAAATGATCATTGTCCTTTTCTCCTACTCAAGAAACTGTTACAAGACCAAGATGGTATTATACTGTTAATTAAGCTGGAAAGAAAAAAAGTGAATTTGCCAATGAGTTTGGAGAACAACAAATGATTTATGTATTGACTTTATCAAGAAAAATGGTGAAAGTGCTTTATTAAAAACTGATATAAAAGATTTATTAAAAACTGCCTCTTGTAATGCTCAGTCACACTGTCCAACCACCAAGACATCAAGACATCCAGTCTTTATATAATTTATAACTGAGCAAGAGATAAGTCTACAACATGAAATGGCTGCAGGAGGCAGGAAGGTGAGTCCATATTTGTAGCATCAAATATTTATGGAAAGAGATTAATTTATTATTGCATTATCAGTTACTCTATCTTTGACATTACTGTGTGGAACATATCCCTATCAATTAAGAGGCATTGGGGAAATGGTTAATGACTGACTGTATAACTACCTAGTGCTTGCCAAGGGTGCCAAGAGTGCCCTCTAGCACCCACACTAGGTCTATACCCCTGCTCCAGCTTGCTAAAGCTGACCTCATGCCCTCACCTTGGATGTCTTTCATGTTCCAACTGTATATCTTAGGATACTACTTTCAGAGCTGGAGCTGGGCTTTGAGTGCCTGCTCCTTCCAGATCATCACCAAGCCACCAGTCTTCCCTGGTATTCTGTCCTTGCCTGGACAGGGTTCAGGCCCCCTCATTCAGGCCATGGGCTTTGTGCCCTTTATCTATGCCCCACCCCACTGGGGCCCTCCTCGGCCTCTGGCCCTCTCAGCCAGTCCTTTGGGATTTTAGACTCCCGTTCACTGCCCTCCTGGATCCTCTCTCAGGCCTTTAGGCCTCTTGGGCTTTCTCACACTCACTGCTTTCCTGGGCTCTCCTACACAGCCCTTTGGGGCTCAGGCCCTTTCTCTCTTCTTGCCCTTCTGGGCTCTGAGCCTTCCTACACAGTCCTTTGGCTTCAGGCCCTCTCACACCATCCTTTTGAGATGTGGGCCCTTTCTCAATATCCTTTGGGCTGCAAGCTCTGATCTTCCCTTCATAGTCCTGCACCTGTCTCGACCCCCAACATAGTGGCAGCACTCACCCAGGTGCTCCCTGCCACCTCAAGACCTCCCTTCATAGCCACTCCCAGTCCTGTAGTCTTACACAGCAGTAAAGGATGCGCACGTAACATAACTTCAGGGCATGGCACTGCTGAGTTTCCTTCTGCCCTTGGGGTCTGAAGCTCCTTCCTCACAGCTGGCCTGAACCAGACTATTGCCTCGCCAACCCCTGTGTTTCAGGCTCTCATTGAACTTCCCACACCCGGGGCAGGCAGCTGCTTTTCTCAGAGCCTCTTAACTCCTGGCAGTTCTTACAGAGTCCAGACTGTACCAGAAGACACAAGTGTAGCAAAAAATGTCTGTGCCTCTTGTGTTCCATCAAAACCTGTGACCAGGACTAGTGCCCATTTGCTCACCCTTAGTTATGCTACTGATAGAAAATATCATGCTTGTAGCAACAGCAATCAACGACAGAGAGTAAATTACAACATCCTGGCAAAACTCTCTAACAACACTTCTTTTTCTAAAGCCCAAATAGTCTGACCTGTGTTAAATCAAACTGAAAATATACTGCCAGCTCTTCTTCACTGAAAGGATACTGTCAAAAACAAAGCTCTCCTAGTAATTTTGATCAAACTGCTTTCACCAGTTATTCCCATTTTCTCACAGATGTTACAAAACAGAAAACACCAAGTTTGATTTGAGGAGTCATAAATTATAACTTACAATATGCAAATTTGCTATTATGACCATATCCTGGAGTCAGTTCAATAGCATATGAGGTTTTGGCTTGAAGGCCTCTACAATTTTTAGGTTGATGGCCAATACACATAGATGTTCTATAGGTGGCCTGACTCCTTGATAAATCAGAGAAGTAATTTCCTAAAGAATGAAATGGGATTAGAGATCCTGCTGTCTGGTATGGTGAGGAAGTCACTCTCTTTACCCAGACCCTTAACCATTATACAAAGTTAGGTTGATTGTATCTTAACAATTGACTAGGGAACAGCTGTGGAGGCTTGGAAAGGAATGCTAACAGGTGTCCTCAAGAAGAATAAACTTATTAAGGAAGTAATTATGACTTGCACTGTGCAAGTTATTGCTGTATAATTCCCAGATGTTGAGGCCTAAGAAAAACAACAGTTGCATATTGACTTTCTTCTTATACTTCTGGGATGCTAATAAAAATATAGAAGTCAAGAGTAAAAGTATTAGAAAGCAAGAAGTCAACCCTAAAATTAGTATAGCCTTGCAATTTTTAAGTGCAACTGAGTTTTACCATGTGGGCCAGATTTTTAAAGGTATTTAGGTACCTACTGAGCCAGAAAAGCATGAGACACTCAAAAGATTGTAGTGCTGCTTTCAATTAAGTCCATGGGAGTAAGACACCTATGTGCTTTTGTAAATCTCACTATCTGCCCATCTTTAGGCACCTACATATTTCAAAAATCCCCTGACATTACATCTTTCTCATCAACCCACAAGGAAATAATATCCAAGCAATCCAAACTTTTACTGGAAGAAAAATTTGAAACATTATGAAAAGCTTATAAATATCAAATGAGACTCTGGAATATGGTGGAAGTTGAAAACTTGGCTGTCCCTGCTCCCCCCCCCCCCCCAAAACTGTTGTTTTGTTTGTTTTTACTATCAACCATGCATTTTAAAGCTTATCTCTACCACTTTAGTCACTGCTGTTTGTTATCTGCCAGATAATTGTACATCTTTGATTGCACAGTGAAAAGAATGAAAAATCACTGCTCAAAGCACTGGGAATTCAGACCATGTTATGCAGTCGATGGTAACTCTATGACTGATTAAAGAAACCTGCTAAATGTGGCCACTGTTCAACTAATCACTTCAATATGATCTGAAAAACTTCCTGGATTATACATCTCTCTCTCTAATTTACATGTCACATAACAAGACTGAATAAGGAAGAGAAAAGGATTAGCAGATTACTATTCTGTTTGCATTTTCCCAGTTAAACATTGCAACTGCTGCTGGCTAGGTAGTAAACAGAACATCAGACACTAAACTAGATATTTACAGCTCCATATGGACTACTGCTCATCTATCTTCAGCACACACCCCATGTCAGACACTTCTCTTTACAAAGTATGCCCCTAAAATCAATTATATATTCATTTATATGTACACATACAAACATATATTCATTGTCTATACTCAAAAAGCCTAGAAAATTTCAAAACAATCTAAGTGAGAAGGCATTTAGAACATTTAGAATAACCTACCTTTAAACAGAAACAGGAATAAAAACCCAGAGATTTCAAATAGGAATCCATAGGGGGAAAAATATTTCAACCTGATCAGGGTTGCCAACCCAGAGTTTATTTATTTTTTTACTGACAATCCACAAAATTTTACTGACAGCCAACCTTTTTTTTTTTTTTTTTTTTAACTGACTTATGCTTTACATAATATAAATGCAACTCTTCTGCCAGACCCTGGATGAGAGTCAGGTTCAAATTTAGGGGTTTAACACCAACTATAGTAAAAAAGTTTAGTTATCAGTAAAAAATCTGCAGATTATCAATAAAAAAAAAATCTTGGTTTGGCAACCCTGCTTTACTGCAGCAAAGATTTTACACTGTGCTGCCCCCTGCCTATAGGGCCCTCTACTCACCCCTATACCCTGATGCTCCACACACACCTTAAGCCCACCTTAAGCCTTAACCCTGCCCTGACATGGGACCCCGCTAAAGGAGTTGCACCTGCAACCCAGCAACATTACAAGCAGGTGATAGGACTTAGAAGCAGCAGCAGCACATGACTGTGGCAAGAAAGCTCAAGAAGCTTCTGGGGGCTACATAGCCTTGACAGAGCTCTGCACAGGGTACTGTGCTCTTGCATAGACATCAGGTGACCTTGCTGTGTTCTGTCTGTTTTTCACCACTGCCAGCTTCATTTCTTGTGAAGGATTTTCTTTCAGCTCTGCGTTTCCTTTTTTTCTTTTTTTTTTTTTTTTATGTATAATCAGCTCTGCGTTACCTTTTTTTCTTTTTTTTTTTTTTTTTATGTACTTTATGGATAGGTGTTTTTAGCCTGAATTTTTTGTGGGCAGTCCATACATTTATGGACAGTTGACAACTTTACATGTTGTAGTTGTTCAGTGTTTTTTGCAATCTTTCTTTGCTCCATTA